CCGGCCTAAGTCCTTCCAGTTCGGGTGCATGATCAGATTGGACTCACCCCTGGAGCTATTGCTACTCGGCTTGCATCAATGTGGAGTACTCACACTCAATTACAACTCGGGTATGGCAGGGTACTCATCAGCCTGTTCACGATTATTAGTACACGAAAATTAATTGTACTTGGCCCAAACTCGATTCTTTGTACACAGATTTTGGGTATATTTATCAGATCCTTATAGCTAGGTACTTGGTACTCTACCTACTCCGGAGAAAAAAATCAGTACTTCATCACTTTCTATTGATAGCGTTTTTGCGCTGAGTGACGAGCATAGATTGACAAGAAACGCCGGGTGAACACAAACTGCCGGAGAATTCATTGATTTGTCAATACACATTTTTGAACGAATAGGGTAGAAGTTGAAAGTGTAAAGCGATTGTTGCATGTGTTTTAAGAAATACACATGCATACTGTGTTCACTTTAGTATTTCTTTTCTGTATTGTAAGTATACATGTACTCACTTGGACTCAGACTTCAGTAGGCTACTCCGCTCGCGATTGGACCATTGACTCGGCCTGTATTCGCCGTGCATCGATGATGTGTTGGACTCGGGCCCGGACTTCAACGACCCCGGCTCCTAAAGTACTCAGAGTACTCTGTACTTTCATTTGACTGGAGGACTCGATTCCAACACTGGTTTGCACAGGTCACTATATAGATAGATGATTGCGCTTCTAATCTGGGCCAAGGCTATAATTATTTGTTGAAATCTATTTTCAGCATAACGTGTTTGATTTATATTTCACAGTTTAGGAATTACGAACGGTGTACACACGTAAAGAAGATTGGACTTGGTTTAACGAACATTGTGATGTTGAAAAATTGCTTCTGGAACATTGGTTTGAATAAATAACAGATCTTTTTGTTTGTTCAACTGTGATTTTGAATAGGCCTGCTACATTGTTTTCTAGAAAACGTGTGCCCCAGAAATTCGCGTTTGGTCATTGGCTTGCCGTAGGAAACAAGTCCCTAATTTTAAGTATATTAAAATTATTATAATGTATATTAATTGTGTTAAGCTGATGAATATCTTGTTTAGTTAAGAGTTCCGTTATAAGAATTCCACAATACAAAGCCTTGCCTTTTGAAGAAGAAGAAAAAAATCATACTACTGCGGCAGAGTTAATGTTTATGTGCAGTAACCTAAATAGAGTGGCACCCTTTATATGTTGGACAACTCAACCGTTTCGACTCGGGACAACTCGACCGCGGTGCCGGTGGGACAACTCGACTATTTACCAAGTAGTCCGTTAATAAAGCCTGGTTTCCATATCGGCGTAAGGAACCCAGAGAGCAACGCAACCAAGACGCAAACTGCAACGCAGACATATGGAAACATGTCAAAAAGAAGTACATATCGCCGATAACCCAGACATAACACAAACCAGCCCCACACCATAGAGCTGTACCCAAAAGTGTTGATTTTAACACCCAAGTTTTTACAGTGTATGGATGTAAATAAACAAGTGTCATTGCTCTGTACTTGTGCGCCTTAAGGTTCCTTTCCGTACGTTTTTTTTTGTGCGTTGTGTACACGGTGCGTTCATGCGTTTCAATTTACAGACACAAAAATTGACCCCATTAACATAACACACGTGTGCGTTGCGTTCAGCCGTCAAAATTCCTCCGGGGAGTGATTTTGACGGGTATGCAACACTTGACGCAAGTGTTGACGGGCATAGGGAAAATAAATATTCAATATAGACACGCCGGACATTCGCGTATGTTGTACTTCCCCGTTGCATTTAGAATACATGATTCGATACTATCTGATTTCGAATGTTCTACAAGCACGCATACTGATTCAAAATGTCTGCGCCCAGGAAGGTGTCAAATGTTCTCTGCGCGGAGAATAAGAAGTTACGGGAGCGCTCTAGTATTTTTATGTAAAGTTCTATGCCCCAAACGGATCGGCAAAGTTGAGCCCAGTTCAACTTCAATGCCGACTGTCTGTGTTGAGTTGCTGAGTAGGCTATAAAACACACACGCTTGCATGACGTGCGTACAACGATGTTAGTCTCACTGAGTAACACTCATTTTGACCATTCTCCTTGTTATAGTAGCATATTGTGACGTGACAGAGGGCGCCAGTCACTAAGCACGGTACAGAGTTATAGATGGCGCTCTGCCCAGTAACAGAGGCAGCTCAGATGTTAGGCGCGCATAGCTAGGTGTGTGTTAAGCAAGCGCGGCGCATAGGCTCCGCCTTGTGCGTTGTGCGACAGGGCAGCGGAAGTCACTGCTTATAGTCACGTGAGCGTGAGCGCGGGCGTGGTCTGTGCAAGGGTTAGAGTCACCTAGCCTAGTGTGACTGTGCCAAAGTCCGAGTGGTGCGTGTGCTGTTGAGGGGCTCGGTAGGTTTAGGGGCTGATTGGTGGTGCGGTATAGTTCCTGATCTTGCGGTCGATGCAAGGGGCGGATTGCTTTCTCGTGACGTGAGTTGCGTGTAGCGCAGCCCTGACAATAAGCCCCGCAGACTTGCTAAAGTCCCTGATTCGGCACTGGATGCCCACAATTAATTGTGGTGTTCGCTGCTCTGGGTGAAGTCCGGTCATGTATAATCACGCAGTCTCCCCGTCAATAGCGCCCTCTACTGGTGTATTGGTTGAGTGTGTTGATGAATAAACCAGCCGCTTGTTAATTATTGTATATAAGTCAGGAGTCCAGGCGAAGTTTATTTCAAGTCAGGTCTGTCCAGGTTACGCCATTAAGTTTCGACCAATCTGATTAGCCATCATCTCGACGAAGACCAACTTTCTTGGGGGACGGTATACGTCGGTCCCAACGGACTCGTCCCTAGCTGCTCAGGGACTCTCCGGCGTGCCGTCCGACGCACCGCGCCTCGAGGAAGAGGGCGAGGGCCTTCGTCGGAGGGGCGCGGCGTCACAATATGCAGCCCCAATCATCAACAAAATAGCTGACCGTTATACAAACTACATCAAACTGAAGTATCAGTTTGGCTCCAAGAGGCAACACTGCCACCTAAAAACAGAATTTTTTTCCCAAAAATTCCCGATTTTCGGGCGCCATTTTGTTCAATTTTTGGTGGAATGATGTCGCGCAGCGTCTCTTCCGCGACTTTCTGTCTGTGGACCGCCTGCGTTAAACGACCGTATGACACCATATTAACCCACATATAGTAGTTGCATGTTGCGACTCCCTTCGACTGCGGGGCACTGAGCGGGTTAGGGGAGGGAGCAGGTTAGCGTAGCGGTTCTTTCCTCGCTTTGTACCAATGAGGCCTGGGTTCGAGTCCCAGCTTGGCCCGGCCAAGGCCTTAAGTGCATTTGGTTTCCACTCCGCACTTGCCCTTGCAGGTTTTCCCGGGTACTCTGGTTTCCTGCTGTCTCTAAAACTTGACCTTCATCCTAACTCCGTAATGTGATGCTGATTAATAAAGGATATGAATAAATGTATAGTTATATATTGGCGCAAAATAGCCTGAGTAGCTGAAGCACCATTAACTACTACCACCACTACTACTATACAATACTACTACTTCTTCTTTTTTGCTGCAACGAAATTGGTCCAGCAAAAATGTGAATATTCAGCATCCAAATAGACAGGGCTAATCGATTCGCATGCTAAACCGAAGCTACATGTAGCTACTGGTCCCTATACAGTATAGGGATGCGGCGGCGCGGCGTACGTGGCCTCGACGCAAGTGACGATCGGGCATGGCCCGGCGCACGCAGCGCATAGTCTGCGGTTCACAGGCGCCTACGCTGAGTAATATCGAACCGGTCGAGTTGTCTCAACGGTCGAGTTGTTCGGAGTCGACTTGGCAAACGGTCGAGTTGTCCAAGACCCTTAAAATATTGTTCCACTTATAGATTAGATTCCTCTCCCTTTCTTTGCAGTCCACCCCCCTCTTTGTTAGTATATCAATTTTCCAGTTTAACCCACCAACCATTTCAATCTGATTATTACTGGGGCCCAACTTCTCATTTCGGTCCTCAGATTGCGCTTATCCAACGTCAAATGGTCAAAGATCGCAATTGGGAAATGCAATGTCATGACCTTCAGCCTTCGTCACTTAGGCCTATATATAATTCCTTCCATTTTACTTAAAAAACCTTTTGCAGGAATGTGCAACTCTAAAGTCTTCAAATATTTGCCAGTTTAATTTTATCAATGATGTTCCAACACAAGCTAGTATTATTTTTAAAAACAGTTTATATACAAGAATAACTAACGTGTTCACGACGGATTCCTTTCAAGATGGCGATGCAAGCTGCCCGACGACAAAATGTGAGTTAAAATGTACCGAAAATCTTCCTTTGGGAGGATTACTTGAATAAAATGAAGTTGAATTATGAATTACATTAAAGATATCAATATTTGTGGAAAAGCTAGTGGTTTGTTTGAGTTTCCTGGTCATCGTTTTGGCATGTTTGGGGTGTCGGTCATTTCGCCCCGGTTCAGCTTCGCCCCTAACCACTTCGCTTCTAACCACTTCGCCCCATCCCGATATCGCCCCATCCCTGCATTGCCTCATTTGCACTTCGCCCCATTTCGATTTTGCCTCATCGAAATCGTCCTTTTTTATTTCCTCTTTTAGTTTAACAAAGGCATATGCAACAAATAAAAATGTCAACAGTTTTAGTGGGCCTACCGTCCTAGCCTAGCCAACATGGCCAAGCATGACAAGTCAGACGTTCAGCTAGCTACCGCCGTACCAGCATGACCGGTATACCCCCAGAACAGTGGGGTTCGACATTCATGGGAGCGGGGCGGATGTTGGACCCCACAGTTCTGGGGGCATGGTTCCGCTTGAGACAACTTGCTAATACGAATGTTCAATGCATAGACATTGCCTATTTCTGACCTCGCAACTAAGGTTGCATGTATGATGTACGATATTTATTCACCAGAATCAAATAATCGCCAAAGATGAAGCACAGATCATACTGTGTTTTTTTTAATAGGTGCCTGGTTCTGTTTTCGAGAGGTAGGCCTACCAGTTCATCATGCAAAAGTACATGTAATTCAAACACCGAAATTTCTCAATTGTAAGCTTTACATGTAAACATGGTAAATAGAAAAGAGGGACGGGGGCTTGGGACTTACTTGGGGAAATGTTCATTTTTTAATCCAACCATGGAGGTACATGTACATGTAGTAAAACACCGTCAACAAGGGTACACGTACCCCAATATGAGTTGTGCAATTCACATACATGTACATGTAGGCCTAAATTTGTAGCTTTGCATAAATTTGTATTGCTTTGAAATAAAGGAAATAAACCCAATACAAGTCCAGCTGTTCATTTCACCAACCTACATGTACATGTAGCCAATAGTGAGTGAATGCCATAGAGCAACACCATGCCCTTTCGGGAACCCCTTTCAGAGCTCCCCACTTCTGGAGAGGCAAACTCCTCAAGCACTGATGGGTGAAGTGGAAGTGTGGCGGTGGGGCGAAGCGCCCATGGGGCGATGCAGTTAGGGGCGACATAGAAATGGGGTGAAGTGACTGTAAAGCTTTTTGTGCTTTTTAGAATTATGAATGAAACATGATGGTCTTCTAGGCCTAGGCCTAGGCCCACCCTCAGATCTGGGGGGTCCGACGTCCGCCCTGCTCATGGACGTGATGGAAGTGGGATGGACATCGGAGTAGGGGATGTAGGGGATGTCCCCGGATGTAGATGTACATGTACATGTACATTCAATGTTGAACGTGCATGACATGTTGAAAAGCAGTCATGGCAGCTCCAGTTGGGTTATTCAATTTTTTCATGTTTTTGTCACATCTTACATGTAAATAAAGATTTTTTAAGTTCAAGTCAGGTTTATTTTAATTTTCAACCATGCCGACACCACAGACAGGGACAGGTTGTTAAATAAATCATGATGTAACATTAGGCTACCGGTAGGCCTGCATGTGCATTATCCAGGCCTTCAAAAAGTTTTAAAATTTCATTTCCTAAATCTAGCCCGGCTATCTGGCTAAAGTGCATTCTTTATGTTCTTTAAAAGTGCGTAAATTTCAAATCTGTGCACACAATTTTTTAATTTTGTTGTAATTTTAATGGTCCATTAAAATAGCACAAAGTAATACAAATTTTGGCACATGAATCTGCAGGCAACAGTCGTACATGTACATGTATGTACATGTACACGTATGAGACTGACAATGTATACCAGTACACGTTTTGCATAAATTTAAGTTAAGCTTGGGTCTGTTGTCGCGTCCATTTGATATTTGTGCTGCATGAAGATATAAAATGTGACACTTATGGGGCACAGATAGGTACATGTACTGTACATACTGTACCTGTTTCGAGTTTGATATGTCTGACGGAGTTTCGCCTGTTACTTCTGAGCTCTTTGATGAATATTTGCCTCTTGAGAGTTATTCAATTTCCCTGTTGACATTTAACCTAGACTTTACTTGCCTTTACAAAATACTCTCTGACCCATTAATTAGAAGAAAAAATCTGCAATAAAAGTGGGACCCCAAACAAAACAAATAACAATCAGAGAGAATAAGAATTTCAAAACAGCCCCCCAAAACTACTACTGTAGTTTGTACTGGGATTCTAGCCGTTACTGAAGGCAACCATTTCTCAGCTTGACTGGTGCCCGCCCCAATAATAATTGAGACAGCTGGAGAATTCTGAGGGAATGGGAACCAGCATAGATCCCAGCATCCTCGCCCGGTCCAACGCTAACCATGGTGTACATGTACATGTAGTTTGATCTATACAAAAAATATGCACATTAAACGATTGTGCTCAATCTGGCTCAGTTGGGTGAAAACACAAACGAAAGATGAAAAATTGTCACTACACAGACTACAGTGTATACATGTACATGTTATGATTGCATCAAACCCTGAAACGTGCTTCAAACAGTTTGACATGACGTACATGTACATGTTAGTGATTGCATCAAACCCTGAAACGTGCTTCAAACAGTTTGATATGACGTACATGTATAATAATTTACATGTTGAAGCACATACACTTAGCCATGTTGTACATGTGCATGAACATTTTACTGCAAGTTTTGGTAAATTGTAGTGTTAAAACATTGCTTTATCGCAAACACCATGTACCACACATTGTGTGTACAGTATGTAGTTATAATGTCCTCATTTTAGTCTGTGGAATTCGACAAAAGGAAATTTGGTTTTGTACTGGTATCAAATTACATTTACATGTACAAACCATACCATGTACATTCATATGCATGTATGCAGGTACAAAGATTAACAAGCCGGACAATGTCTTCTTTTTTTCCAAAGGTGAGATTGCCACCTGAAGTCAATCGCATCCTTTACGTTCGGAATCTTCCATATAAGATCACAGCAGAAGAAATGTATGATATCTTCGGCAAATATGGTGCAATCAGACAAATCAGAGTGTAAGTACAATGCTCTAAGCATAATTTTTATGGATGAGATCTTGAGGAGCAAATATTTGACGTCATTGCCATGAAAAGTTAAGGATACACTGTATAAATGTATGTATGTGTGGAAATGCTTGGAAAGAATTCCATCGACAGATGCTACTACATGTACATGTAGTAGTTACCCTGTAGTAGCCTATTAGCCCTCTGAAAGCAATAAAATCTTGTAAAAGTTAAATTCAGCAGTTGAAATGTTGAGATGTTCACTTAGAAAACACATTGAATTTTTCAGACCAGTACCAAAGTGTTTGTGCACAGGGTGTCAAGCAGCATACAATGTACATGTACATGACAGTTTATATGGAATTCTTTCCAAATGCTTCCTTTTTCATTACCCATGTTAACTGGGGTGCAAAATGTTTTCATCAGTACCTACATGTACAGTTGGATGGATTGTTGAGGATTTAGGAGNTTGCTAACCAAAGTGGCCAGACCTGTAGTGCTCAAAAACAATATAAAGTGCATACATGTACATGTACATATACCAGTATACCATCAGCTATGGTGCAGTGGTCAGGTTTTCAGGGATATTACATATGTAATATAATACATGTATTGTTAAAAACCTGAATAAAGTACATAGTGTCCGTGCACCATTCTAAAATGTGATCAATTTGTGTTTTACATGTATATTTTTGCATGAAACCCTAATCTGAAGCATGTACTATTTTAAGATGAACTGAGATGATGATATTTTGGAGAGACCGTTCGTATGCATGCGGTTTCTATTAAATACAGCACAATGAAGAGATTTTGTTGAATTTTAGATTGGAATTTCATGAACGGGGGTTTGTAAAAATATTCAGCACTATAATACCCGCTTCAACATTGAAGTACAGGAGGCATCAAATTAATGCACTTGAAATTCATATTTTTCTGCAGCAAGTATTTTACTACTTACATGTACATGTATGTACATGTACATGTATATGCTCATGTCGGAAGTAAAGATCCTGTAAGCTGAGCATAAACTATGTACATGTACACATTGTACTAAATTCACAGATATTAACATAAACTCAAAGGAAATGTATTTGTTGAGAAAACCTGTTGAAATTACACAGAGATTCATCTACATGTAGCGAAAGATGCCCTACAGAAAATACAATATGCTACAAATTTACTGTAGAACGGCTTGATGAAATACTAGAAAGCAAATAAAAACATCTCAGTTGCATGGCAAAGAATTCTGAATTTTTTGAGAAAAATGGTTTGGATTGCAATTTCACTACCACAGGTGGCAAAAACAGTCAATCTAGAAAATACCATATTTTAATATTATGGAGAGAAAAAAACTTGGTTAGATGCCACGAAGTAGGTGGCAATGCCTTAACCATTTGTGTGTTATAAACGCCTTGCGGCGTCTTCCGTCCTTGTCAAGGGGAGTGCTAACCTTCTCTCCTTTCATACAACACATTGAAAACGTTTGATGCATTTTGCATTTGTAAGCCACTCTTTACCTTGATTCTTTGTCACAGTATCTTTGTGAAATTTAAAAAAATTTAGAATTAGCCCATGACAAACACCAAAATGCTGTCAAATTGATGCAGGTATTTTTCTGATTTCTACGATATATTTTGCCAACAAGTTGATGCCTGAGAATTTATAAATACTGTAGACGTTTGTTTTTGCAGTGCATGCTGGGAATTATATGCTAATTAGGATGACTCAGCAGTTTTCCATTGCTTGTGCATACATGCAGGCTTTTTCATGTGCAATGTTTTTGTACCGATATGTTGTTTCCAGTGCAGTTGTTCCTGTGTAAATTTGCACAGGTGGATCTGGGGATATTGTCTTTGTACTTGCTATAGAGTCTATTGAAGATAATTGATTTGTTTTTGGTTTCCTTTGTATTAAAATTCCCTAAGAAAACTGAAGCATTTTTGTCCAGTTCCAAAATCTGTATCATAAATTCAAGCCAAACATATTTACTTAACATGCAGGTTTTTGAACTGTGATTTTCAGTAATGAATTTCTGAATGATTATCGGTCATTTCATGATAATTTTATTGATGATTGTTCTCCATTGCTCTTGTTTCTACACCTCAGTGGCACCAATTCTGACACCAAAGGGACAGCATATGTCGTCTATGATGACATTTTTGATGCTAAGAATGCCTGTGACCACCTTTCCGGCTTCAACGTGTGCGGGAGATACCTCGTTGTACTGTACTACCAACCTAACAGAGTGAGTGTCTTGGGGTTTTCTTTTATCAATTGTGATTACAAATAGAGGATGCTGTCCTTGCTCTGGACTGTCTGTTTGTTTGCTCGTCTGTCCGAGTATTAGACCATCTGGCTGCCTGTCCATGCTTGTCACTTAATTTGTGTTTCCGTCTCCCAATGTGTTTTGAACTCAAATATCAGCTTGGGTAATAAAGGTCGAGGTTATGTTAGGGTAAAGATGAAAGATATTTACTGGGCACATATCCTGCCCGTGTTTTTTCCCCCATAGTGTACTTATAGTCCATTGCTATCTGTCTGTTTGTCTTTCCTCTCAGGCTTTCAAGAAGGTGGATCAGGCTAAGAAACAAGCCGAACTGGACAAGATGAAGGCTAAATATGGACTGAGCACGCCGGAGATCAAGTAGCTGGCCTTCAAAATTATTCTTGAACTTAGAACAAGTGTTTCAATGTGATGGCTTTGAGCCTATGGAAAATTTCGGCTCGACCTCAAGTAAAGAGCTTTTCCGCTTGGATTAGTTGCCTCTGTTAAGTGTAACGGGGATGCATCATCAGTACAACATCTACTGTATGAAATGGGAGTCAGGATGCGGATTTAAGGTTGAGTGCTGACACGTGCAAAGTCTCTTTAAGATTCCTTCAAAAACAGACGGAACCCTTCGGTACAAAATTTAGCTTGATCTATTGACCACTGTTGGTTTGTGAGGGCCACCTTTAATCTGTGTAGATGTATTTCCCAAACTTACTGGATATGCCTCACATTGAATACAATTGGAAATCTCCACAGTGCAGATGTTAAGCACAGTTGGTTTATTCCCTGTTCATTTTGTGTACTTATTTTTTTATTACCCCGTTACTAAATTGTATTGCAAAAAGGGAGAGTGTAGGGAATGGAAGTTACTTTGGCATTTTCATTGTACCAGAGTTCTGGGAAGACTTGTATCCTTGTACATGTGTTTAAATTTATGTCGACCAGAAGTGATGAAAGGAAAATTAAAGCCTACCGGTCAAGAAATCTTTTGTTTTAATTTCACAGGAAATACGTGTGTTTGACCCTGTGCAGAATTTGCGACTATGATTCAGAAATTTCCCCCAAGAAATCTCTGTAGGTGCATCCTCTGTCTTCCACCTTGCACGTAAATTTGTGGGCACCGTACAGGTGCAATTTAAAATTGCCCAAAGTTATATGAGACTGACTCATGCATGATTCAGCCTTTAACATTGCGAACATTGTACATGCCACGCAAACGGTTTTTATCTTAAGGTTTAGGAAACGGGATTTATGTAAACGAGATGGGTAGGTTTGTTCTTCGCCTCCGTGTTTGTTTACTTTGTGTAGAGCGCTTGTATTACCGAAATGTGGCGTTATTTCCCAATGTCATCGCATTGATATTGTTACAAGTGCATGTGTTTATACTATTTTTTTTAAAAGGAGTGCTAGGTAAAAACGGATGAACATTTGTTTGTGTGTGCCTAATGTGGGTGTGGATCTCAGTGGCTTATTTATATTGGCGGGGATGCGTACTAATTAAGCGAGTGTGTATGAATGCTGACTGCGTACATCTGAGTTTTCACCTTGGGTCCGTTGGTGACGGGAGACGAGGCACCGAAGTTTATTCATCTATTCGGCCGCCTCAAAAATGGCGAGTGAAGAAAGCCACAGTTTTCAATGCTGGATAGCTCCTATAATGTGGGTTCCCGTCATGTGTTCTTTTGGCAACCCATTTTTACCTATCGAAACCATTGATGAGAGAATAGAATGGATGATATACATGTAATTCGATAATTATGACGTATGATCTTGAGGGACAAGTCCTGCCTCTGTGAAATACAAATATTGGGAGAGCTCACAATTCCAAATGGTTTGCTGTTTGGAATGTTTCTCGACAGCTTTAATAAAGATGTGTCAAATCAGCATCTTATTTTGTGTATAATTTATATCACCTTTTTATTGGTTTGTTTTTTGAGCTTTTCTTGTCCTCATTTGGTTGACTAGTTTTATGTGATTGAATACATACAGTCCAACACTGATAAGAAGAGCACTGTAATCAGAGGTAGATCTACAGGGGGTTGCAACCTCCCCCCCCACCCCTTCAGCTGCGGATGAAATGGAACTACCAGTGAAATGACAGAAAATGAGTAGGTCTACCCAAAAAAGTCCTGCACGAGGATTGCGTTGTCCATCTATCTATCTACATGTATAGTTGAACAAAATGTCATGTACATCGATTTCGGGATCCCTTCAACCCCCCCCCCCTTTCCCAAAAGCTAGATCCGTCCCTGGTTATACAAAGTCATGGATATAACAAGGGCAGTTTAGGTCCGAAGTCTGCTTTTCTTTATCTTCTGTTACTGATGCGTGAATTTACCTTTCATAAAAAAGTAATCCCAAAAAGCCTTGTTTAATACAATGTTCCAATGTTCTCTTTATATAGTACTATGCATTACACGTTCCTTTGATTGCAGCCCCCTTTTCCCAATTATCATCATTAATTTACTGTTACTTCCCTAAACGAGCACCTTTGAATACATTACTATATTGTAACGAACTAACGTGCGCTTATGAATCTACATGTACATACACGAACAGCGCCGACCCAGAGTCACATGCGGAACGCGAGCGATTTTTTTTTCATGCTGTAGCGGCCAATCAGCGAGGTCGTGCTGGTATTCATGATGTCAGCCCACTTCGGGGTTTCCCGTGTGAGTATGCCCCATTAAAGTTAAACATTTCCTTTCGATTGAATGTTCAGTCACCGTACTTTCCGCAGTCTTTCTTGAAAAATCAGTGTGTCCAGTTGTCGCTGCAGTGGGGCTTTTCTTAGTCAGGAAACGTTTGCACCGCCATCGAACAGCACTGTCATTTCCAAAATAGTTACTGATATGTTTTGTGATTCTGTCCAGGGCAAAAGAAAAATATGGAAACTGCAAAGACGAATGCTTACCACGTATTTTGTAACAGAAACATAAGGTGTGGTGTTACTTCCTTGAACTTATAATTTATTCGGTTCCTTCTGTGAAAGAAAGACTGTATTCTCTTCTGATTCTGTCGGTGAAACTGCACAGAAAATCAACACCCGTTCGCCTTGCACGATGGATTTCGTTGAGCCTGTAGCTTCGAGTCAACGATCCATTTTGGTCTTCGTGTACTTGTTCGCTATCGTCTGTGGCTTTCAAACCACCTCGGCAGCTGGTAAGTTGTGTCATTTGGGGCAAATGCTTTCGCATTCGGGAGTTGGGAATGCCAACCGCGCCACATGGAGATGCATGTACGTACATGTATTATGGACGGTCAGGACAGCGTGATTCAAGGCGTGGTGTACGACAATGAGGTTGTTCACTCATTGCAAACAGGCTTCGTGCCAAAGAATTTTCCGCTAACGCATGTTAGGTGAAATGACTTTAAAAACTGGGGAAATCTCGCGTGAGCAGTAATTCGACGACTAGTGAATGCCTATAAGAATAGACACCAACTGTGATTGCACCACGTCCGCATAGCGTTGCAGACGCGTGCGTTGAATGCATCTTTATTGAACAAGGTGTTCTGATTTGTACGGCGAACGTCATGTCACCCACCGTGACGGATGGCTCCGTCCTCAGATACCATGGCTGTTAGCGTTGTCAAAAAGAACAATTCGTGCGTGAAGCACCTTAATTTCCCTTTGTTCTTATTTTCTTTTGTATTTTTGGTTGGAATTATGTATGTTTTATTTTGTGTTAGGTTGGGGTGTCTGTGTATTTGTGTAAAGCATTTAGTGGTTGGCATAATGTTGTAACATGCATCGTGGCATTTCTCCACCAGTTATGACATACATGTATATACAAGCAACGACAAAACTCGTCAATAGCTTCAAAGTGGAAACAATGGGCACCACAGAGGGTTTGCGCACCGAAAGTTTGTTTAAAGACCATGTTTCCTCATAGCTTTCCTTTTGAGATATACATATACCTCTTTTGGGAAGTTGCGTCACCTAGTTTGCTCATACTTTTTGCAGCACAGGGCATAATTTTTTTCTGATGTCCTTTCGACAGGGAATTAATTTTAGACGTTCTGAAATACTAGTCAATAGCATACAGATTACTACATAGCCAGCAACTAATTGTCGGTGTCATTATTTTCCTTAAATATATTCATATACGTCCACTTACGTCGATTCAAGTTCAGCCACTATTTGACAAAGATCGTTTGCAATCGCCTAAAGGCCTAATAAAACGTCGAAATGTCAAGAATCTCATGAAGAGCGATCGACACTACAAAGAGCATTCGCCAACGCAACTATGTATATGACGCCGTCCACGACAGGACCAACACCAAGGAATCTAGCTTTATAATGTGTTACATTGCGTGCCTAGATTTTGCCAAAACATTTGACAACTAGTGTTCCTCGATCCGTGAGAAACGTCTAGTGTTTTGACAGCCGTCAGCCTTTGAGACAGATTATGAGTTTCCTTGGTGTAATTCTTCATGGGGAATAGGCCTATTTTTAACGGATTGCATTGAGTGGTGTCCCTTAAGAGGAAAATTTTTGGCCCTATTCATATGAATTATTTCTATCAATGATAAACAAGGATATCCAGTATTAGATTACATGCCGCGACTGTATAACACCGATCAGTGGATTCTATACACAATTGTATCAGGAGGAATATAAGCATTCTTGGTGATCAGTAAAAATCGTACCGGTTGTTGCTTGAATTCAGCATTAGCAAGTGCAAAATCGTTAGAATGAAAGAAAACACCCTGCAAGAAAAGCATGGTGAAAAATATCCCGGTATTGTGATTAATTTAAAAAGATTTTACATTTGGAATGACCAGGGTAACGAAATATAGAGAAAGTGCAACAAAATGTTGGGTTTCATTGAACGGTCCTTCTCAAACTATATTCTTGCCAAAATAAAAAAAATGCTTTGCATTTAAGGGTTTTGTTAATCATGACGCCTGACTTTTTGTCAAAATGAATAAATAATTCACATACAAAAGGCCAGGAAGTTTGCCGCCTATAGACCAAACTAAAACCTTTTTGCATCTTGTAAGAAAGCTTGAAATGGCTGTGTAGCCGTTATATTGTGCTTTTTTTAAGTGATCGTAAAGTTTTGTTAGAAACATTGACTGGAAAAAATACATCGGATATGGGCATTAGATGAGCATTGGATGAGGCATTGGAAGCTTAATGAATATCCGCATTCATGTTTGTTTAAAATACTGGCATAACCTGTCACAGGAAAATGGCAACCACCTCCAGATAACCCAGACTTCAGTGAGGATGGGTTATGTCACAAAAATGCGGGTTTTTAGAAACATGATATTCAGTCACAACAATTCTTGATTCTTGAAAACTTGCCGTCAGTGGTATATTCCATCATGTATTTCTGAGAACTGTTATTGTTAAATTATTTCCGTATCTCTGACCAAAGATACATGGTGGCCCAATTCTGTCTCGTTCAAGTCAGTGTTATGCAGACGCTTGTACGACTATACCTGTCACCATATTACTCGGATTGTTGAGACATGGAAAAGTGCACGTGAAAACCAAATCACATATCACGGATTTCTAATAATATTTTTATTATAATTCAGTGTGAATTCATCGATCATGAAAATCCATTACAGATATTGGCTAGGGCATTACTACGACTATACCTCAGTAATGCCACAGTGTGGGTTGTCTTTTATAGGAGTAAAAGGCACGTATCCTAGGTCAGCAAAGAAATTTCCTGACATTAAACACAAAACGTCGCGGTTGAAAAGCACGTTAAAAGCATCTAAAGAGCAGATTTGGGGTTAAAAAGCACGAAAATAATAAACAGTTCAGTCGTTGAATACTGAGACTTCAGAAGCACGAACACTGTCGCCCTCATAACGAAAGTGATTAACATTGCGACTTTTCACCACTCATCGAGCACGATTAGGTCTTTCAGCTAAAAAAGTACACTATGTCCGTGTTGTGGTTTCCGAGATTTGTGTATACTCTTCAACTGCCCAAAATAAGTTGTGTCAGTTCACTTTGGAGTAGTTCCTAACTGCGTAGTGCTTATTCTCCTACAGATGGAAACTATGATCTTGTGTTGGTGGCCGACCTGAGCAGACGCGAGATTTTCGTCGCCCCGGCGTTGACCTTCAACTTCACACGGATCCCAGGTCTTGCCATCCAACCGTTCGACGTAGACTACGACCCCGTTGATGCCATGGTGTATTGGACAGACGGTAGGAACGCCATCAGCCGTGCGTTTTTGGATGGGTCTGGATTTGAGGTTTTGTTGTCTGATCTTGAAGGTAAACACATTCTCTCATGCTATACTATCCAAAAACGTGTTTGTATTCTCTGATATATATATGTATACTGAATCGTGTTTATAACTCAACCGTAGATTTACGCTTAAAGGTGTTTGTTCTTTTCGCTCCTTTTGTTGTTTGGTACCGACTGGTGAGTTGCAAAGAGAAACTGACGTTACAAATAGAGAACAAATAACCTGACTGTTTTTCACGTAATCATCCGGCTTTTTTAGCCTAATATGTGATTTTTTGGTCGATGTTTCCGGATTAATACTACGTTTTTGACGCAGGCCGCCTACAGACATGGTTATTTTGGCAAAAGACGGGGACCTATACATGAAGCTGTCACAATATTTATCGAATTCCTTTGCCTTGACTGGTGTTGAGATGATTTTGAAATCGGCCATTTTCCTCCATATCAGCTCCAGAGGGACTTCGTCTAGACATCGTGAATCGTGTAATATACTGGACTGACAGTGGCAGCGATCTGATTGAGAGAGCTACCATGGACGGCCAGGAACGATCCGTGGTCGTCAACCTGACTCATCCGTCATTGGGCGACGTAAAGCCAAGATCAATTGTTCTGGGCGCTGACAACAGGTCATTCAGTGCCTCGATTTCAAGTTGCCATATTTGTCCATTACAAAGACAGGAAAAAAATGTGTTTCATATTTCACTATTGAAACACTCCTCTGACCTTTTTTAATCGTCAATTTGTATTAAATCCAATATCAGTATGCTGCCGACAAGACAAAATTGGCAAAATACGGCAAAATGGGGATATCCAGACAGGACGGCTTTAGGCCTAAATATCTCGTCTTTCTGACACTACAAGTTTTCATCCGGGCAAAATATAAAATGTCTTCTCAGTTTTGCTTCTGATAATTCCAATACCCTTGTAGACAGGAGATCCGTTTTGTGCTGTTTGCGTGTTTTCTTGACCGCCTCTGAAAAGGGAAAACTACCTTCCAGAGAAACAAGCTTGCTCCTGGTATACAGGTTGATTGCCGTGGACGAATGAGAAAGGGGTGTTTGTCCTGTATAGAACCTCTCAGAAAGTAATTTTAGGAAAATTATTTTTGTTTGTTTATTTATTTGTTTACTTATATTTCATTCTTTGGTTATCATCTTGCCAACAAAGTGCTATAACAAAACTGGACATTTCGATTGGTTTTTTATGACTTAGGTATCTTTACTGGACTGACTGGGGGGTCAACCCGAAGATTGAACGAAGTGCTACCGACGGATCTGATCGACGAGTGTTGGTGGACACAAATCTCACATGGCCAAATGGTCTGGCTTTGGACCCCCAAGGTGATAAGTGTTGTGTGTTTGACTGTTGATATTGTTTGCTATCTCTCATTCGTACATGAACCTGTTTTCCTTCCAGAACACCAGACTAGCCATCTAAATGTTTATCCTCTCAACTGAGAACATTTTGTTCAGCTTCTTCACTTGGCCTTAAAACTTGTGACACTCGGCAGAAATTAACACGTTATATACATACGTGCCAAACGGCATGCGGCGTGTCTTTTATAGTTTTAGTCACATGCGGGGGCTCTCTATTTAAGCTGCATATCACCTGTGGATTCAAGCCATGGAGCTTTTAATAGCTCCAAGTTCGAGTAAAGTGGAAATTGAGATAGCTTTCGCGCGCACGATGCTTAACTTTTACATGCACCGTACACAGGACAAAGACTGTACTGGTGCGACGCCCGCACACATCTCATCGAGTCATCCGATCTGCTAGGTGGTGATCGTCGAACGCTCCTAAATCTCCCCGTGGACTACGAACCTTTCGACATCGGTGTGTACAACGGCTGGGTATATTGGACAGACTGGGCCTTTAGGACAATCGTTCGTCTGGATTCCATGCTTACAAGTGTAACTCGCCATGGTTCAAAAAGCTTTACAAGAGCTGGCGGACTTCGAATTTACAAAGGTAAGTTAATGAGTGTGAGAAATTGGTCCCCATATGATAATCCTACCATTTTCAATTTCATGGAGATTCGGAAGTGTCGAATCTCAAAGGACGAACGTAATCTATGATGATCCCATTCATCTGGTGACGCACAACTGGCGTACTTTTTTAATGCTACGCTCTTTCAGTCACAAAGCCTGATGATCACTCACAAGTATGGACGGTAGGAAAAAAGCTCACAAGATTTCGACCACACTACATGACCAGAGCTGTAGGCATGTTTGTTTATTTGAGGTCTAACTCTCCTCCCCACTAGATCTCCGGAGAGCTAATAACTCGGAGTGCTCATCATGTTTTCTTTCTCAGACATGATGGAAGACCACACTTGTCAGCAACTAATGCCTTGTCAGTACGGTGGGCGTTGCCGTCAGTATTCTTCCCACTATGAATGCGTGTGCAGAGATGGATTTACGGGCACCAACTGCGGTATCTGTTTTTAAGTTCATTGTGCTTTTTGGTATTGGTGTGTTTCTTTGAGTATTTTGAATCCCAACAAAAAATTTAGTCCGGATATGCCCTTGATCTTACCGGGGTGCATTTATCCTGTGTCTCCTTCCGTATCTCACAGTGTTGTGATTATTTTTAAAGACCTACACTTTACCAAGGTAGGCAAATGTTGACTGACTTGTATGTTGAGCTTCCAGCTCCATAGATACCCCCATCCCTTTCGTGAATGCTGAATCCATGACTTCATTGCGTCACAGAAATCATGTATTTTCCAATTTAACCGTTTTGATCGATGACAGTTCAATTGCTGATTTTTGTTTCTGTTGTATTCTGGTATCTTTAGAGCTGGATCTTGTCTGTCCGGCCAGTTTCCAAGTTTTGGCCCAACCAGGTTTTACTGAAACCCATGTGAGCTGGAAGGAGCCGGTTTTAACCGGCTACGATGGACCAAGTAATGTTACTTCCAATGCCACTCCTGGTGCCGTATTTGACATAGGACTGCACGAAATTGTTTACCGCCAGAGGTTTGAGTCGTACCAAATTTTGTTACAGTGTTCTTTCACTGTAGAGGTTGTGGGTAAGTCATCTGTTCCAAGTAATTTACCACAGTCAAGAAGATAATGAGCAATCTGTTCATCCTCATCGCAGATAAAATCAATTTGCTTGATCTTTTACAAATTGGAGAGTGCCAACTGCATGTTGCCAATATTAAGGTTAAGTATATGAAGGAGAATAGCTATCTTCATAGGCAAAATGTAATATTTTTGAGGACAGACGAGCAAGCGTGCACCGATGAACTTCAAAAAAATATTTGTTTTTGAGCCAAAAGAGAGGAATTCAAATTGGTTTTCCATCAAGTTGAGCTTCTTAGAATCCCAGCTATCCGATTATCCAGCAAATAGTTCACTTTAGAGTTCCAGATTGATTAATTCAACGAATACAACTTTAATCATAAATTGAATAGGATATAAATAGTATGAGAAATAGATCCCTTTGTTTGATTTAGGTCATATTTAGTTGTTCTAGGTGTCATTTCTTCCTAGCATAACCATTTTTCATGACTTTTACGCAAAGGTCGATGTGCATCGAACACCACTTATGAAGGCCCCAGAACCCTCACGTGGCTTGCAACAATTGCAGGTTTCACAGCAAAGTCTGTTGAGAGATGCCAGCTTTCAACGCAGAACGGTAATGGATTCAAGAAAATGTGTCTGTGTTTATTAGTGCATCGGTCAACGATATTTTGGTCTGTATTTCCTCTATGGAAAATTGTCACGCGAAACTGCACTGGTTTATTCCACTAAGTTGAGGTATTATAGACATTCAACAACCACGAACTAAAGTTTTATCATTTATTCTGCTTGCCTGCCTCCAAACGCAGCTGGTCAGCCTCTTGCTGTGAGGAACTGCTCAGTCGTAGGTCCGCCTGTGTTCTTTCAGTGGAACACGCACGAACTTCGTAGCTGCGGTGAGGCAAAGAATGAGGTCACCATTCAAGATGTTACAGAGGTATTGCAACTTAGTTTTGTTTTATAAATGTAACATTTCTAGAAGAACAGCTTCAGTCATATCTGTTAGACTGTACTTTGAAACAGCCAGCTGATCCCAATAATGGATGGTCAAGAGGTTGACTCATCTACACCTGTAAGCAGTACTACCTGAACAAGCTTTTAAACTTGTTCTCATAAACCTTCAGATGGTACCTGGTATACAGCGTCTATTCAATTAAGTGGATAAAGGAAGCTTTTAAGCGTGCATATACACCCACCGTTGAATATTTGCCAATGTCAATGTTACTGACAGGTTGAAGTGAGTCAAGGAAACGTGGTTGAAGTGGCCGAATTTCTAGCAAACCAGACCTCGGAGTCAACTAAGGATGCCGAAGATGTGCGGGCAGTTTCTAAAATTTTGGAGAACATTGTCCAAGTTGAGTCTGGAGACGTTAAGGTAACACAGGATATCATTCTTCAAAAAAACGAGTACAGTTTCCCCTTTGCACTTTTAGATTTGTTGTTTGTTTTTTCTTTTTTTAAGAAACCTCTTGGAAGGAAAAGGGATTTATTTGAATATGAAAAATTGCCATTTGGTTAACCTATTTGATTTACGTTTTTTCCTCCTGAATTTCTGAAGGTAACGAGATCAGTGGTCAAGACTGTGAGCAATGTTATTCAGAGCGTAAAGACCACTCCCGATCAATCTGTTGATGATGCTGGTAGCTCGTCTGCCATCGTCCAGTCTGTGGAGACTCAAGTCTCCTTGACGCTTCAGCAGGAAGGTCAGGTCAGAATACAGCAGGACACTGTCCACGTCGAGGCGGTCAGTCTAGCCCTCAAAAAGGCCAGCGGCGGATTCAGCTTCGTGTCCACACCACAGTCTCCGGGTCAGCAAGATAGTTCAGATGGACGACAGAGAGGGACACTTACTGGTACCGAGGTTAAGACATTTGAAAATGCCAGTGACATACCGAAGGATGTGGTAGCTGCCATTGGGTTACCAGCTAACATTGTTGATTTGCTTCAGTCTTCCGATGGTTAGTGCTCTATGGAGATGTTTTGTATCCTGGTGTAATTTGCACATCTACTATTTGGGAGTTGCTTTAATTTTTGTTATTCCCTTTCGCAGATAACAGCTCCAAGTCTCTTCGAGCTAGTTTCATCTTATACGCAGACGATACTTTGTTCAAGTCAGCAAAGATCGAGGGTTATGAAGAAGTGAATGGCTCCAGCGTCCGTATTGAAGGAGCAATTGTCTCACTTAATGTACAAGAGGTTGAGTTGGTCAACCTCACTGAACCAGTGGTTATTGAATTCCAGGTGAGATGTAGCATATTGACAAGTCTTTGCGTGGTGGAGGAGATCACTCTGATGTAAGTGATCAACTAGTTCAACGGGGGATTTGAAACTATATGGTCAGCTTTCCAACGTGGACGAGAAGGCCTGCGTCGCATTTAGAGCACCCTACTAGGAAGTGTACAGTTGAATCTTAAACGAATATCGACTCCACCAGACACGTTCAATAGATAAAATACACTCCGACTTTTCGACGGATAACGCCTCTTACTAACAACATTTCTGTTTTAAATTAAACGCTAAATGTTGCCTTATTATGCATAATTATGTAGCAGAAAGAGATAGGTCTGGTCAGTTGTGAAACTTCAAACCAATAGTTTTACGGTGATACAGGACAAAATTTCCTGATTAAGCAAATCATTATTATTTGCTAGATAAGAAGTGTATGAAGAGGCCACACCCCTAAATGGGCACACCGTTTTGCAATGTTTTGACATTCTTTTTTTGCATTCGCTTTAAGGGAACGAAAACAGCTTTCAACAAAATTGTTGTTCTTCTCAATGCACACCAACAGACTCCTGCGATGAATGAAACGGAGAGGAACAGGACCACCATCCGCTGCGTCTTCTGGGATTTTGACCTGAATGATGGTGTCGGTGATTGGTCGACAGCCGGCTGTAAATTGTCATTTCAGACCGATGACAAAGTGTCCTGCCAGTGCAGTCACGCAACCAACTTTGCTGTCCTACTCGTATGTACCGTACCTTATGTGAGCTTTCCCCTTAAATCATCACAGTGACTCGGAATAAAACCAAAGGTCTACCAGTATGACCACGGAACTCCCCGGAAAGTTGAAGCAGCAGGCATGCATGTTTTTGTTCTTTTTTGTTTGTATAATTAATTGTGTTGTTTTTTAAAAATGGAAGGTCTGTGCGATTGTGAAGAATTCAAGGCTCCTCATCACAAATCACACCAACAGTGTCATTACGTAGGTTATTACCAGAATATGGTGTATTATTTACGACATAAATTTCTGGTTCGCAGTGGCGATGCAACTACAGAACAAGACGTACCACGCGACGCGTCGTGTGTGTACAAACATAGTGGCAGGATGGCGACGGTGCAGCGGGACGGCACGGTGCAAGGGAGCCGTCGTGCCGTCCCGTCGTGTAGTTGCGTTGCCTTGGGAGAGGCTTCAGAGAGGCAAAAATGTATACGTGTGTCGTGAATAATACACCATACCGGCAGGCGCCGTTGACATGAATGGAAAATGACACTCAACTGATATCTTTATCATAACTGTGAATGTGTTTCAAGGATGTAAAGGGCCAAGAACCAAATGGAAAAGATCCTGCTACAAAAGCGCTCGATGTCATCAGTCAGGTTGGCTGTTCCTTGTCGATCATAGCTCTGTCTGTCACGCTGATTATATACCTAGCTAACAGGTAGGTCTAACAGCAATACATTTCGTCATAAAAGAAGTCAAAAAACCCAGACCTATGCAGCATTAGAAATCCTAAGTAATCTTCTCCTCACATGGAGAGCAGAGAATACTTAAGCACCATTAGTTACAGTGCTTGTGTGCGTAAAGAGTTTCGAAAGTGTATCAACTGTATCCCTGCAGTGTTATTTTGGATCATTTCGTCAGTCGATCGAAACGTCTTTGTCCGTAACACTCTAACATGAGGCACAATTTCATTTTTGTTCATCAAATGGTTATGCTTCCATGGTATATATACTCGGCGTTTCTGTGACCTCCGAGGCACCTTAGTAAGCTGTAGTTGTATCTATGACCCCCAAGGCACCTTAGTAAGCTGTAGTTGTATCTGTGACCTCCGAGGCACCTTAGTAAGCTGTAGTTGTATCTGTGACCCCCGAGGCACCTTAGTAAGCTGTAGTTGTATCTGTGACCTCCGAGGCACCTTAGTAAGCTGTAGTTGTATCTGTGACCTCCGAGGCACCTTTGTGCTGTAGTTGTATCTGTGACCTCCGAGGCACCTTAGTAAGCTGCAGTTGTATCTGTGACCCCCGAGGCACCTTAGTAAGCTGTAGTTGTATCTTAATCAAACTGTAGAGTGTTCTGCAAGACCTGGGTATTTGTAATTGAGACATGACCATGGAACCCTGCTGAAACTGCACTCTCTGGTGGTTGCTGTTTTTGCAAAGACACTGTGGCAGATAAGTTTGCCGTTAGGACACCAAGGAAATTCACCCTAACGAGATCCCTCTTGAGTCTTGGGACAAGCCAATATCAAACTGTATATCCTTTTTAATACCTTATTGTTTTTCCTGCATCCCGTAGGAGGTTGCGAAGCGGCATATCTCGTCAGATTTTCATCCACTTCTGCATCTCGCTATTGATGCTGTATATTGTGTTCCTGGCTGGTGTTGACAATGCACAGGTGAGTTATGTTAACTTGGCAGCCATTATGCATCAATAACGACAGGAGTTCTGATTTTTGTCCACTTTGAGTTTTGCTTACCGTGCATAGTGAGTAAATGACACTGGTATATACTGTATCGAAGTTAAGAGCAATTACACGTACATGTAATACGGATTGGATAACAAAATACCATGACTGACTGCCTCCTGCACTTTGTTAATTAAAATAGGGCTCTGGAGGTGGTTGTGTGTTTGTGGCTGCTTTACTCCACTATTTGACTCTGTCCACTATGATGTGGATGGCTGTTGAAGCCAGAAACATGTACATCAGTACGGTGACGGTATTCCCAGAGAACAGGTCTCGGTACATGTTGAAGGTTTGCCTCGTTGCATGGGGTGAGTTTCTGTCCAAAATAAAATCCATTGACCCTTAACACTACGTATATAGCATTCTCACAAGGCTATGTAGAGTCCGATTTCTATACCCGTGGTAGAAAAAAGCGAGTGTTTAGAAAATGTTTTGGGAATAAGTTCAGAAAAGTAAAAAACCACGGTTAATAGTACAAGCAACACCAGCTCCAACATCACTATGAAATGGCAGACTCGATAGGAAATGGAAGAGGAAGATCAGCTTCCCATTCAAGCAACAGGCCTTGGTGTCTCCATCCTACTCTATGGGTGTGAGAGATGCACTTCAAACAGAGCTAGAAAGAATTCAGGACTTTGAAACCAAGTACATGAGAAGACTGCTTAGCATTTCCTACGAAGAACACAAAGCCAACGAACATGTTCTGAACACCGTCAAAGACCTGGTCACGGCCCCTGGTGACCCTGAGGCCCCACCCACGACTCTGAGAAGAGCCAAGGGTCTGAGCTGACCTGAGTGGGGAAAACTTTTTCCACCACTAAAAACTATTAGTTTATCTAGAACAGTTTTAAAGCCAAGTTTTTAAAAGCCAAAGATGTCCAATATTTCACTGTACTGCAATGTGATTGTTTTCAGTCTCTCCGTTGATTATCCTGACGATTACATTGGCAGCAGCAACAGATCACTATCAGAACGAACATTAGTAAGTTGAGCTTTTAAGGTTTTGTCTGGGAGGGAGTGCGGTTCCACTGCTGGGAGGTCAAATCTCATCATGTGGCAAATCACTTTATAGAAACGAACCAGTTGTGTTTTAAATAATAAATTTCTGCGTTTTTATTCTTTCATGAATTTGTCAGTTGTTTCCTGCGTCCTGGTCTGGTGTTGTATCTCAGTCTTCTGGTCCCGATTGGTCTCATCCTCATCCATAACATCGTCACCTTCGTCTTGGTCATGCGTAGTCTCCTGGAAGTCAAAGAGGCATCTCGCTCCCAGCAGATCTCCAAACGCCTCCAAAATGCAGTGGGTATCTCCGCCCTTATGGGGTTGACCTGGTGTTTTGGATTCCTTGCCATTGAAGGAGCGACCTTTACCTTCCAGCTCATCTTCTGTCTGACCAACTCCTTACAGGTGAATTCTAGTAATAGGAAATGCAATTCATAGGTTTCGTGTACACTCGTTGAGCTTGTTTTTGTGCGATGTCGATTCCATTCAGTGCACCTTGGTTAGTGGGTAATGATTCTCAGCATGAGCACCAACATTTTTTCTAGTCAAAAATCACAGATTTTGGCTTGTGGAAACGAGCTATACACTCTAAGAATGACCCAGCATTGGGTCCCTTCGGCGTGACCCTTTTCTGGGAAAAAATGCGACCCCCCTTTCGAGTCATATTTTACCCTTTAGGGGTCATATTTGACCCTTTCTGGGTCATAATTTGGACCGAATAAGACCCAATTCTGGGTCAATCTGACCCGGGAGTTTTTAGAGTGTAGCGTGTCACACAGCAACTACATGTAGATGTGCAGGGTGCAAGGTGCAGATCCAGTTGACTCTTACCTAGGCCTATTTAACTTGCGATTGAGCTCTAATCACTTGTGATGACCGAATAACTTCTGATTACGTGATTAAAACTTTGTCTGTGTAACCCACTTAATGTGACTCGAAATAGAGGAATAAACGTCAATTTCACCTGGAGATATTCGTTGTGTTTTAGGGTGTGATTGTGTTCGTGATGTTTTGTGTTCGACCGGAGGAAGTTCGTGCCGTGGTGGCGCCCTACTTCAGTCGTATTTGCTGTGGCTACGACTGTCGCCTACCGAAGCTGCGCCCCACGCTGTCCAACGACCTTCAGCTGACATCTGAATCAGCACCTTACTCCCCAAGTAACACACAAGCAACAAAATGTGAGTCCTTCACCGCGGAAATACAGGATTTGGGTCGATCGCCAGTCATCTGAAATGATTCGTCCTCGGCCTAAAATTCGTCTGTGATTCCAGTCGAAGCCTCTTGCAAAATACAATCCTAAAGCACAAGTCTTAATTGGACAAGCCTTTCTTTAGGGATTTTCCCGTCTTGAAAAACCTTGCTTCATCCTTTTTTCACAAATGATGCACGAGTAGTTTAAGCAGAAAATTAGCTATTAGGCTACCTGGATTTATAACATAAGCGGAATGAAGGGAACATCTAACTTCCTCAGGTGATAACACGTAGGTACGGAAGCCCGATCGTGCCAGGTTTCTAAAGTTCATATATTTCTTTTATTGCGAAATAACGCAATACTATTGCGAAATAACGCCGATTAGCTTGTTGACTGTGTAGGTCTACATGGGTAAAATAAATGAATTTTATATTTTTTTCAAAACCTAAGCCGTGGTCATTTGAAACAGTGTTATGATATAAACTGGCCATGGTTACATGATCTAACTTCCATTGTCGAAATTATGAAATACATCCTGTCGTGTTTAAAACATTTAAGTAAACCCACAGTCACCCTCATCAGGAAACCAACAAACCAACAATATGGCCCGCTGACATGCGGACTTTCACTACGTGACTTTCATGCCTATGAACCATGGGTTCAAAGCAAAAACAAGTTATTTATCTGGCTGCAATTAGTCTCCTGGAATTGAAAACCCGGCACCCATGTGCATTGGAAGTCCAATATCAATATTTAAATGATATCCATCATTTGCACTTTGCTGTCCAGGACTTCATCAAAATGTTCTCTCAGCATCAGGTAACTGTCATAACTGGTTGGCAGTTCGAGCGTTGGTCTGCACGTGTGTGCAATCGGTCGGCAAGAAAAGTCAGAGATCTGTTGAGTTAATATTAGCGATAACACTTTGCCAGTCATCGAGTCACTGCCTGTACAGAATCGCAAAAATACACCCAGTGTGTCTAAGCTACAGTTCTTCTGGTACTGCCTCAAGACATCAACTGTACGTTTGTGTTCTTTTGTGAGTTGTTTTGGCACTTGGAACAGTTTGAGTACCTCTTTGTTGGAAACTGTCAGATCACCGAACAGTTCTGGTAAACCCCCTTCATTCAACAGAGGCCATAGGTACTGTTGCAGTAGAGAGCCACAGCACTCACTAACAAAAGCCGTTTTGTGGTACACTTCATGCTGAGCTACCTCTCCCAAAACATCCGTTACTGTATCTTTTCTTGGCACCGCCCAGGCATTGTAGGTTGAAAGGACTTCTAGTAGGTCATCTACATCTACACCTTCAAAGTCATTTAAAGTACTTCCATAAATTTCCTTGTCCATTTCTGACAGAGTTGACAGAACCTCGGCCAAAATGTCTTTGACTGAACGATCTAGCATGTAAATCCACTTATCAAGAAAGACTCGAAATAAGAGGATAGGGAAGTAATCTTCCTGTTTGTATCCAACTATCACAATCTTTTCCACAGAATCCCATTCAGCTTTTTGCATGACGTGTGAGGTGATAGGAACATCTCTTACGAGCATCTCTAAACACACCTCAAGAGTCTTGTCCTTTCTCATTTTTCATAGTGACTTTAAGTGTGTCAATTCGTTTTCTTTGAAATACAAAAGACCTTTATGGACCTGGCCTTTTACAAGGGGTACAGTGTTTGTAGTTTGCTGTCGCAGGAATTGTATCATTCATGACTCCTTCATCGGGGATTAGTGTGTGTATGTCCTGTGACTATTTCATCAGGCCAAGCTTGTTCTTGGAAATCCGTTTCATCACTACCAACATCATTCGCAATTTCCCCTGTCCCTGACGAATGGGACTAGGGAAGAGGATCTTTACCTGCCTCTTCAGAACTCTTACTTGTTGATGGACCTGCACAATCTGTGTCAAGTAAACGCTCGGTCACCATATAGACTCTTAGCATTGTCACTTTTCTTGACTTATACAGCTCATCAACACTCGTTTTCTATTTCCTTGAGAGTGAAATCAGCGAGGCTTGCACTGAATTCGGTTTCCTTTCCCATGGGAGAATTACCTGCGGGAAAAAACAGTTTCTTTACTTCATTTAAAAGGAAGTTCTTGGTTGAATCTTTAGGTACACTCAAATTTCAGGTCCCCCCTCCATTCACTTTTCTCACTTGTTTACCATCATGCAGCCACCCCAGTTCAATTTTTCGGCATTTCTTTTAGCATGTTTGTTACCTACCCTTACCATTTTCCCCTTTCTCCCTTTGTGCACCTCGACTTCAGGTTTGTCTTCAAAAGCTTCACTGTCCGTACAACTCATTTCGCCTTTCCTTGAAATTCCTAATTTTTCCTCATGCTTCTCATTAGTTTTTATTTCTTGTCTGACTGCGCTTGGGAAGCTCTTCTCTTTACTTCTTCTCCCACAAACAGCTGAATCTGTCTCCAATAGTAGGAATGAAGGTCTCCAAATCGGGCTCAGACATTCGAGCAGTACAGTGACTGTCACGATAATCTGGAAAAAAGTTGAAATGCATCTAATATATAATTCATAAATACAAACTTTGGATACAATTTGAATCGTGGCGATCTCCTGTCGTATATTACTGTGACCTGCTCTTACAATGACCGGACAAAGTTGGCAATTTTGGGAATCAGTGGCTTGCTATGTGCATTTCTATAACTCGTGTTCCTCAAAACATCGACCAAACAAAACAGTTCTGCTGCATTGATTATATTCATATTTTGGAAGGTAGTACATTTGTATTTACTGATTTTGAAAATGTTAACACCTACACAATTTGGTTTGTCACTTCCCCAAAAGATTTCACATGGCTTTTGGGCAAAAACAAGTTCTGTAACTTCGTGTGGGATTTATACGAGCAGGTCTTAATAAATAAAGATGGAAGATCATGTATTATACTCACATGTAAAGCTTTAGCCCAGGATGACATCATAGTCCTTAGGGGTTTTTATAAGACACAACAACACTCTGACTGACCATTAGAAATTATTATACATGTACATTAGTGCATGGAGTGAATGAGACAAAATCAATTCACTCCTTCCAAAATGTATCTCCCATTGTACCTTTTGTTCATCCAGTTCCCTTATTGGCCTCTGGACATCCAATCTATTGCAGGAAACGTATCAGCTGCACAACCATTTCATGCTTGGGTGACCTGCATGCATGTGAGGAAACTAATTTGAGTTGGTTTTCCTTAGGATGTTTCACACATAAAAAAAACAAATAATTCGTGTAATTAGGGGGTGAACTGATCCACCTTGGCTCCATTAATAGCAACAGCATGCACAAATATACATTGCCAGTCAAGACCGTTCCTTTAAAAGATAACCCAGCTCTCCTCCCCACCCCATCCCCATTAATTTAATCCGCATGGCTTCATTTTAATTTCAAATATGATTTTTAAACAACCATTAAACAAATAATTTCTCATAGGCTTATGCAAACCATAAACAAAAGGCAACAAACCATTTTACTGACAAGTCTGCTTTTTCTGACTGAGCTGAATCACTCATTGTTCCGCTTTTGGTGAGCTAGCCAACAAAAGACCTGCAATAAACACAATGGAAAGAAATATATTTATATTAATGTATTTATCGAATCAAAACAGGCCTACGACACCATAAAAATATACAAAAATCATACTTCTAATTTTTACAGATAATTTCTAATGGTTAAATTAAAAATGATAATTAATGGTTGTTTGTGGAAATGAATTGTTTGGGGGAGGTTGTCTCCTACAATTGCGAAAGAAGAAAGGTTTTGGCACTAACCACAAAATAAGAAGACTCGGTGATAAGAAATGTTTGAGCTGTCCAAATTGATTAAGACCTACAAATCCAACATCAAGCTCGGGTTTCGAATTAAGTGACAGTTGAAAACAGATTGGGCCAAGGTGACGTTATTTAAGAGCCAGGCTATCCGGCGGAGGTAGGGCATTACAGAAAACAAAC